AGATGCTCAGGGAGGAGGAATTGGGAGTCTTAAGTACTCATGGTGGAGGAGATGGAGGTCTTGGGTGCTCAGGGAGGAGGAATTGGGAGTCTTAAGTACTCATAGTGGGAGGAGACGAAGTCTTAGGTGCTCATGGTGGATGAGATGGAGGTCTTGGGTGCTCATGGTGGAGGAGATGGAGGTCTTGGGTGCTCATGGTGGAGGAGATGGAGGTCTTGGGTGCTCATGGTGGAGGAGATGGAGGTCTTGGGTGCTCATGGTGGAGGAGATGGAGGTCTTGGGTGCTTATGATGGAGGACATGGAGGTCTTAGGTGCTTATGATGGAGGACATGGAGGTCTTAGGTGCTCATGGAGGAGAAATGGGGTATGATGTCTCAGGAGCTCAGGGAGAAGGAAGAAGGGTTAAGAATTGGGAGTCTTAAGTACTCATGGTGGAGGAGATGGAGGTCTTAGGTGCTCATGGAGGAGATGGAGGTCTTAGGTGCTCATGGAGGAGATGGAGGTCTTAGGTGCTCATGGAGGAGGGATTGGGGTATGATGTCTCAGGTGGAGGAGGGTGGGGGTATCAGGGGCTCATGTATGGGTCGAGGGATGGATTAATGTGCTTATAGAGGATTGAGAACTTTCTGGTCTGCCATTGCAGATAAATCTAAACACTGTTACAGTTTGTCTTTATTCAGATGAGAAGGTAATATAAATACAAGTGGAAGTAAAATTTTTCTCTATAGAAGGTGCTCCACCTTATCAGCAACTAATGGTAAAACATGTTATACTCAATTGAAATGAATTATTTTAGCTGCCAATTATCTGTATTTTGGGGTACAGATAAATGGATTGTTTGGTGTAAATTGTTTGTGTGCTTGACCCTCCTGTAATTCAGGGTGAAGAGCTCTAGACTGTTGGGGGTGAAGGTTTTGGACCCTCAGCTTCAGTAATTTGGAGTGCACAGTTCTAGACTGTTGGAGGTGAAAGCTATGGGTCCCAGTGGCGTCACGAGGGGAGTGCGGCCCGCACTCGGGTGGCACCATTGGATGGGTGACACCAAAATGACTGACAAGCTGGGCATTCGGTCATGTACTGAGAGCCCGACAGTTGCAGGAGAGAGGAGAGGACCCGGCGGCATACCGTATCCCGCCAGGTGAACGTCCCCTCCTCTCTCTGCCGGCATCCATCACCAAGATGGCCGCCGGCAGGTACCACCAAGATGACCACTCATGCGCCATGAGGATATGGCGCATGCGCGGTGAGGATATCCCGCACACGCGAGGTGATGTCACGCGTATGTGTGACGACGTCATGGCAGTGTGTCACCTGGTGTCCGCTCCGGGTGACAACCGGCCTCGTGACGCCCCTGATGGGTCCTCCTGTAATTTGGGGTGCACAGTTCTAGACTGTTTGGGGTGGCTGTAGGAGTGCGAACGGGATTTGGAAACAATTGTTTGGGGTGAAGGTTCTGGACCCTCCTGTAATTTGGAGTGCACAGTTCTAGACAATTGGGGTGAAGGTTATGGACACTCCTGTAATTTGGAGTGCACAGTTCTAGACAATTGGGGTGAAGGTTATGGACACTCCTGTAATTTGGAGTGCACAGTTCTAGACAATTGAGGTGAAGGTTATGGACACTCCTGTAATTTGGAGTGCACAGTTCTAGACAATTGAGGTGAAGGTTATGGACACTCCTGGAATTTGGGTAGCAAAGTTCTAGACTGTTTGGGGGGAAAATTATGGACCCTCCTAGAAGATTTGATGCACAGTTCTAAACTGTATGGAGTGAAGGTTATAGGTCCTCCTATAATTTGGGCAGCGTGGTTCTACACTGTTTGGGGTAAAAGTTATGGACCCTCCTTGAATTTGGGGTCTACAGTTCTAAACTGTTTGGGGTGAATGTTATGGACTCTTGCAATTTGGAGAGCATAGTTGTAGACTGTTTGTCGGTGCTCTTACCTCGTCAGCCTTGAAGACTCTTTTATCTGTGAAATGTAGCTCATTCCACACCACCTCCACCCCCTCCTCCGTGTCCATCGCCAGGAAGGTGCTCTCTATGCCCGGCATGTTCCCCTGATTCACCTGCAGACAACAACAACAACAACAACAACAACAAGGGTAAGCATGGATGTAGATCACAAAGCTCTCTGGCTGCCTGTACATTGAAAAGTTCATTATCATAGAGATCGTACAATGAGGTGTACAGTCTGTGTGGTGAGAGCTCACAGTGTGCAGTGAAATCGGAGGAAGTCATTCATTCCAGGAGAGGAGCCGATACAACCGTGCAAGACTGAAGGGAAGGCCGGAGGTCAGATAGAAGACTGAGGGGGAAGGCTGGAGGTCAGATAGAAGACTGAAGGGAAGGTCGGAGGTCAGATAGAAGACTGAAGGGATGGACGGAGGTCAGATAGAAGACTGAAGGGAAGGTCGGAGGTCAGATAGAAGACTGAAGGGAAGGCCGGAGGTCAGATAGAAGACTGAGGGGAAGGCCGGAGGTCAGATAGAAGACTGAGGGGAAGGCCGGAGATCAGCTTTAAACACGTGATCAGCAAATATGTGTTCTACTTACTTTTGTTGGATGTTATAACCTTGTATGACATATTGTCAATCAGGGCACACGGTAAGGGGTTGATTCATAAAATTTCTGCCCAACTATGGCTGGGTGAATGCAGTTGGTACAACAATCCCACCACTAGCTGGAGCCGAGGAGCATCAGAAATCCCTATGCTCCTTGGCTTCATCTAGTGGTGGAAATGCCGTCTGAACGGCATTCGCCCAGCGTAAGCCCTCGTTCACACCTGAACGTTTTGTAGCGCGTTCTACGCTCGACAAACGCTCTACAAAACGGTCAAAAATATAAATTGCATTGTATTCAATGGTCTCGTTCCCACCTTGCCGTATTTGCGCCCGTCCCTAACGCCCTGCAAAACGGCCCACGCCTGAAAAGGTCCAGGTACTACTTTGGGCCGTTTTGTAGGGCGTTTTCCATTGGGATACAGCCAAGTAGCCTTCGGAATCGCGCAACTTTTTTACCGTGAATCGCGGTAAAAAAAACCGCGCGACAGACGCGCATATTACAATACGCCTAGGTGTGAATGGGGACTAAGGCTGGGCGGAAGCTTTAATAATCTACCCCAAAGTGTCTACCCAAGTGACATGCTACTTGCGGGGTTTTTCTACACTGCGGCATTTACTGCGTCATTGATTAGTGTTGGGAATTAGCGCTCACTGCACTTTTTAGGCTAGTGACCCCATGTGAACGTCCCCGAGTACCAAGGCTGAAGAGCTATGTAAACTGATAATCGTTATCTAATCTATATCAATATTTTAGCTACAAATGAGGGTAATAAATCATTTCCTACGTGACAGATCGGTATGTACTGACGGCTTCCTATGCTACAGACCATCGGGTACCGATAACAGTTCACTCAGCACCGTTCAGGAGAGATAAGGCCAGAGAGAGCCATGGTGGTGGAAGTGCTGGACCCTTTCCAGGCACAATGCTCCCTTAGGCCTTGTTCACACCAAATGCAGAGTAGATCTGCTCAGGTTTCTGCACACGCACGCTAGTCTTTTAGATGCGTTTTTGGTAAAAAACATTTTTTTTTTAAAGTTTAGAATGGGCTTTCAGTGCGTTCCAGGCATTTGCATGCGTTTTTGATGCTTTTGCAGATCCAGAGCAGGTATAATAGGGCCTGCTGCAGTTTTTTCACCTGCTCTGGACCGGTACGCTGCGATGTGAACTGGAGCAAAAAATACCATTGGAATACATTGGACGCAGTTTTGATCCGGTCTGCAACTGCTCTGCGCTTGGTGTGTACAAGGCCTTAGTGTGATGCCTATGGCAGGTCCAGGCTGTGACAGAAGACAAACCGTCCCAGGATGCTTTGCTCTGACATCAGGATAAAAATAGACAGCGTGTGAGCCGGGGCCAAAGAGCCTGACAACTGGAGCAGAAGAGATCTCAGCAGCTCAGGACACATATGTGCCTGGAAATAAGTGTGCGCAGAGCAATCAGATGGTGAACAAGATGGTGGCAGAACTGGGTATGGAGGTCTTAGGTGCTTATGATGGAGGACATGGAGGTCTTAGGTGCTCATGGAGGAGAAATGGGGTATGATGTCTCAGGAGCTCAGGGAGAAGGAAGAAGGGTTAAGAATTGGGAGTCTTAAGTACTCATGGTGGAGGAGATGGAGGTCTTAGGTGCTTATGATGGAGGACATGGAGGTCTTAGGTGCTCATGGAGGAGAAATGGGGTATGATGTCTCAGGAGCTCAGGGAGAAGGAAGAAGGGTTAAGAATTGGGAGTCTTAAGTACTCATGGTGGAGGAGATGGAGGTCTTAGGTGCTCATGGAGGAGATGGAGGTCTTAGGTGCTCATGGAGGAGATGGAGGTCTTAGGTGCTCATGGAGGAGGGATTGGGGTATGATGTCTCAGGTGGAGGAGGGTGGGGGTATCAGGGGCTCATGTATGGGTCGAGGGATGGATTAATGTGCTTATAGAGGATTGAGAACTTTCTGGTCTGCCATTGCAGATAAATCTAAACACTGTTACAGTTTGTCTTTATTCAGATGAGAAGGTAATATAAATACAAGTGGAAGTAAAATTTTTCTCTATAGAAGGTGCTCCACCTTATCAGCAACTAATGGTAAAACATGTTATACTCAATTGAAATGAATTATTTTAGCTGCCAATTATCTGTATTTTGGGGTACAGATAAATGGATTGTTTGGTGTAAATTGTTTGTGTGCTTGACCCTCCTGTAATTCAGGGTGAAGAGCTCTAGACTGTTGGGGGTGAAGGTTTTGGACCCTCAGCTTCAGTAATTTGGAGTGCACAGTTCTAGACTGTTGGAGGTGAAAGCTATGGGTCCCAGTGGCGTCACGAGGGGAGTGCGGCCCGCACTCGGGTGGCACCATTGGATGGGTGACACCAAAATGACTGACAAGCTGGGCATTCGGTCATGTACTGAGAGCCCGACAGTTGCAGGAGAGAGGAGAGGACCCGGCGGCATACCGTATCCCGCCAGGTGAACGTCCCCTCCTCTCTCTGCCGGCATCCATCACCAAGATGGCCGCCGGCAGGTACCACCAAGATGACCACTCATGCGCCATGAGGATATGGCGCATGCGCGGTGAGGATATCCCGCACACGCGAGGTGATGTCACGCGTATGTGTGACGACGTCATGGCAGTGTGTCACCTGGTGTCCGCTCCGGGTGACAACCGGCCTCGTGACGCCCCTGATGGGTCCTCCTGTAATTTGGGGTGCACAGTTCTAGACTGTTTGGGGTGGCTGTAGGAGTGCGAACGGGATTTGGAAACAATTGTTTGGGGTGAAGGTTCTGGACCCTCCTGTAATTTGGAGTGCACAGTTCTAGACAATTGGGGTGAAGGTTATGGACACTCCTGTAATTTGGAGTGCACAGTTCTAGACAATTGAGGTGAAGGTTATGGACACTCCTGTAATTTGGAGTGCACAGTTCTAGACAATTGAGGTGAAGGTTATGGACACTCCTGGAATTTGGGTAGCAAAGTTCTAGACTGTTTGGGGGGAAAATTATGGACCCTCCTAGAAGATTTGATGCACAGTTCTAAACTGTATGGAGTGAAGGTTATAGGTCCTCCTATAATTTGGGCAGCGTGGTTCTACACTGTTTGGGGTAAAAGTTATGGACCCTCCTTGAATTTGGGGTCTACAGTTCTAAACTGTTTGGGGTGAATGTTATGGACTCTTGCAATTTGGAGAGCATAGTTGTAGACTGTTTGTCGGTGCTCTTACCTCGTCAGCCTTGAAGACTCTTTTATCTGTGAAATGTAGCTCATTCCACACCACCTCCACCCCCTCCTCCGTGTCCATCGCCAGGAAGGTGCTCTCTATGCCCGGCATGTTCCCCTGATTCACCTGCAGACAACAACAACAACAACAACAACAACAAGGGTAAGCATGGATGTAGATCACAAAGCTCTCTGGCTGCCTGTACATTGAAAAGTTCATTATCATAGAGATCGTACAATGAGGTGTACAGTCTGTGTGGTGAGAGCTCACAGTGTGCAGTGAAATCGGAGGAAGTCATTCATTCCAGGAGAGGAGCCGATACAACCGTGCAAGACTGAAGGGAAGGCCGGAGGTCAGATAGAAGACTGAGGGGGAAGGCTGGAGGTCAGATAGAAGACTGAAGGGAAGGTCGGAGGTCAGATAGAAGACTGAAGGGATGGACGGAGGTCAGATAGAAGACTGAAGGGAAGGTCGGAGGTCAGATAGAAGACTGAAGGGAAGGCCGGAGGTCAGATAGAAGACTGAGGGGAAGGCCGGAGGTCAGATAGAAGACTGAGGGGAAGGCCGGAGATCAGCTTTAAACACGTGATCAGCAAATATGTGTTCTACTTACTTTTGTTGGATGTTATAACCTTGTATGACATATTGTCAATCAGGGCACACGGTAAGGGGTTGATTCATAAAATTTCTGCCCAACTATGGCTGGGTGAATGCAGTTGGTACAACAATCCCACCACTAGCTGGAGCCGAGGAGCATCAGAAATCCCTATGCTCCTTGGCTTCATCTAGTGGTGGAAATGCCGTCTGAACGGCATTCGCCCAGCGTAAGCCCTCGTTCACACCTGAACGTTTTGTAGCGCGTTCTACGCTCGACAAACGCTCTACAAAACGGTCAAAAATATAAATTGCATTGTATTCAATGGTCTCGTTCCCACCTTGCCGTATTTGCGCCCGTCCCTAACGCCCTGCAAAACGGCCCACGCCTGAAAAGGTCCAGGTACTACTTTGGGCCGTTTTGTAGGGCGTTTTCCATTGGGATACAGCCAAGTAGCCTTCGGAATCGCGCAACTTTTTTACCGTGAATCGCGGTAAAAAAAACCGCGCGACAGACGCGCATATTACAATACGCCTAGGTGTGAATGGGGACTAAGGCTGGGCGGAAGCTTTAATAATCTACCCCAAAGTGTCTACCCAAGTGACATGCTACTTGCGGGGTTTTTCTACACTGCGGCATTTACTGCGTCATTGATTAGTGTTGGGAATTAGCGCTCACTGCACTTTTTAGGCTAGTGACCCCATGTGAACGTCCCCGAGTACCAAGGCTGAAGAGCTATGTAAACTGATAATCGTTATCT